GTGTGTGGTGTGTGTGTGTGTGTGTGTGTGTGTGTGTGTGTGTGTGTGTGTGTGTGTGTGTGTGTACGTATATAAATATATATTACATATTAAAGATTTTTTATTTGAAAATTATATATATAAAATTCAACATAAATATGACATTTACTTTGGCTTGATCAACCATGTTTTGAGCAATCTTGGGCTCCAACTCAGCTGGTCTCCTGGATAGACTTTGCAATTGCTGTTCCATATCTTGGAAAAGTGTTGAGAGTTCCTGTTTTTGCTCTTTAATCTCCCTCCAGCTATCCGACAGCTCTTGAGAAATGGTCATCCTCTCCTCAATCTGAAGAATTCACAATATCAATCACTAGAGATGCACCGATACCGATACTGGTATCGGTATCGGGCCCGATACTGGTCTCCTGTACTCGTACTCGTTAAAATGCCCCGATACCAAACGCCGATACCACACAGCATGTGTTAAGCACCACATTCAAACAAAGAAACACCGACAACAGAACAACAGACAGCAGAAAGGAGTTAAGGATGTCTACTACGAAGTATATGTATGCAATTAATATAATGTTAAACATTCAGTATTAACGCCTGTATAGCTGATGTGCGCGAGTTGATAAACAAAGCACGCTGAGTGGATTGAGCGCGCGGCGGCGCAGATGCGCGAGCTTGTCGAGTGAATATATCTTTCATGAAGCTGGATGACAGCATGCCCAGGAGACTACAGGCTGTCATTGAGGCTAAGGGTTGCCCAACTAAGTATTGATAGTTGTGTAAATACCGTCATACTAACAGCTGTCTGAATAATTTTTGGTTGATTGTAATCTATTACATACCTTTCTATCAAAATTATCTAACATTATCAAGATGAATTTGTTCTGACACAGTTTAACTCTGAGTTCTTGTCATATTTTATTACCATTTTCTAAACGAATAGCGAATAAACTGTGATAATGTGAGAAATGTTGAAGGTGTCTGAATAAATTTTGGTTTGACTGTATCTATTTGATAAATGAAGTTAACCAACTAACATTATACATACCCTTTTGGTTTCTGTACCCAATATTTAAAAATTTTACAAATGTAATAAAAATATCGGTATCGGTACTCGGTATCGGCAAGTACCAAAAATAAAAGTATCGGTATCGGGCGAGTACTGGAAAAAGTGGTATCGGTGCATCCCTATCAATCACATTATTAGTAACTGTATAATTTCATATCCCATAGCAGTGTTAGTTGATTCTGTGTAATCAAACTCACCATCGTTTTGGTTTCCTGTATTTTGGCAGCTGTGGCTCTCACAGACTCATCAGATAAATCACACACTGAACAAACCAGGTCCAGATATGTGCTGGCCTGCTCCTGTAGAGCCCTAAAGTGCTTCACCTGTGGATAAGCAGTCAAAATGTAACTAAATATATTTAGGTTGTCTGGACAACTTTGAAACTGGTTTGTATTAGCATAGAATCATTCTGCAGCTCTGTCGCATCTACCTGTTTCAGAGCCTCTTGGAGGCCATAGGGAGTCTGCGCCTGCAGCTGGATCTCCTCTTTAACAGTGGACAGCCACGTCTGACACTGCTGCAGTGTGTCCTGATGGCTGACGTGCTTCTGGAGCTCACGGTCCAGACTCTGATACACCTGATGAGCCAAATGTTAACCATTAGACCGAAATAATAAGATGATATTTCTGATAATGAGATCCTTTATTAGCAGGAGTGCTCACACGCTGAGCTGTGCTGCAAATAGCCGAATAACTGTCTCTGGTTCCCTGCTGGTGTGCCTGGATCTGCTGACTGATCTTTGCCTGGACTTGCTGTGTGCAGCTACTTGCGAGACGCTCGCCTTTGTCCTTCAGGCTGGTCAAACGCTCCTCAAAACCAGCTATCTCCTCCATTATTGCCTGAGAAGAAACAGGTCAAATCACGTCAAATGATATAGAAAAATAATTGACAAAAATGAAGGTAAGAAAAGTCAGTAATTCCCCAAAACATATGTGCATATATATTTAAAAGTATAAAGATGTACAAACAGTGCAATATGCCAGGTGCTACAAAAGTAAACAGACTACGAAAATAAACATTTATGTGAATGCTACAAGGATTTTTGGTAGTTTTATTGATTGCAAGTTACTGTAAAGCTATTGTTCATGGGATATTTGGATGCTATAATAGCAATAATAACACACCTTGTGTCTGGCTAGTTGTTGTGTGGCTGTCTCTAGATTACCACTTTGCATGGAATCAGAGGTGACCAGCCTGCTAGACATCTGTAACAGCCATTTCTCTGCTTCTTGGAGTTCACTGTTATAGTCTTCATGTTCTCTCACGCTCTCCGTCAAACTCTGAAAGTGGACCTACAACAGAACAATATTAGATGAGCAATAATGCATGGAATCTAGGAAGCCGAGACCATTTTTGCATGACTGTACCTTGGCATCATTGCATAATTCTTGATAGTCAGCTTTCAGCTTGCTGATGTTCTCGCTGATAGATGGGTCACGGATTGTTTCAAGAAGTGCATCTCCCTTCTCTATAACTGATTTGACTGCTGACTCATGGGACTGGATGGTCTGCTGGATTGTCTAGAAAGGTACAAAGGAAACATTTGACATGACTCTGAAGATGGTTGCATTTGTCATCCTCATAACTAATTCAGTGCATGTATCTTCTATACTCACCAAAACATAAGTGTTTTGCTCACCTTGTATTTGGCTAGCTGAGCCTTCTTTTGGTAAAGTTCAGCTTTTGGCTCCACTGGAGTCGCCAGCAGTGATTTGGTCTCTGTAAGCCATTGTGTTTGAGTCTTGTATTTGTCCAGGAAGTCTTTGGAGAGCTGTATGGATTTCTCTGTGGCACTCAGCTCTGACCGCAGAGCTCTGATCAACGCCTCCAGCTGGGAGAGTCGGGTGTCGACTTCTTCCTTGAGCTGCTCTGCCTCAGGTTCCTCAAGGAAAGTCATGGCACGATCCGTCTTTTCACGCATGGTCTTCAGGAAGGTGTGACCCAGCTCCATGTCACCTTGCAGAGCCTGAGACATTAAATATAAAGTTTCTTAGGCACGTGAACTTTCAGAAGTCATTCTAATATGCTGATTTGGTGCTCAAGAAACATTTCTTATTATTATAAATGTTGAACGCAGTTGTGCTGATTAATATTTTTGTGGAAACCGTGATACAGTATTCTTTTTGCAGTATTCTTTGATGAATAGAAAGTCCACAAGTCCACTGCATTTATTTGAAATAGAAATCTTTTGTAACATTATAACTTTGTTATAATGACTATTTGTTATAGGCTTTACTGTCACTTTAATGCATCATTGATTAATTTAATGTGTCCTTGCTGAATAAAAGTATTAATGTTTTCCAAAAAAAAAAAATAACTCTTTAGTTAATAACCAAAGCTACCTCTAGTTTTTTCATCTTCTTCTCCATGGCGACACGATCAACCACATCAATGGTGGTGGTGGTCACACTGCTGAAGTTCTTTTGTGCTGTGCTCAACCAATCAGAGAAGGTGCCGACGACACTCTGGGATTCTTCAATGCAGGAAACTTCCTCCTTCAGTTGCTTAATGGTGTCCTACAAACACATTTAAAATAGTAAAATTTAGCATGATCCTTTGTGTTATATAGATATATGTGTTTTAATCCTATAATTTAATGTCATAATTGACTAAAAATGTCCCAGAAATTGACAAGACATCTTAGAAAGAAAAGAGTGCTTTATAAGTAAGTATTTCTAAATTCTAAAAATTAATTTTTATTCTGAAAATTGTACTCCTTTACAATTATAATATAATATAATATAATATAATATAATATAATATAACATAATATAATATAATATATAAATACAATGGTAGTTTATGGTATGTCCTGATTTAGGTTTGTGTGTTTAAAGTGTACCAGCAGGTGTAGCAGCAGGGCATGATAGCGTGACGTGAGTTGTGTAGCTGTAGTGCTGACTCTGCTGCTGATGGGCATCTCTTCTAAAACTTGTTGGGCCAGGACACTGAGACCCTCTATCTCCTCCTGATAAGCCAGCACCTCCTCATGCCAACCCTGAAGAGATATCACAAGAACATATCATACTCCATCCATACATATATTCTACAGGAACAGCTCTCTTTGCAAATAAAACAAAGACTGCTGGAGTATGTTAAACAAGAAAATGCTAATTCAGTTATTCTACTTCAAAAAATCTCATATTTAATTGGATGTGTTAATTGCTCTTTCTGCAGATTTGTGAAATTTACTAGCAATTTCATCAGTAAAAATGGATTCAAAGTAAATCCTACACTGTTTTTTCACTGTATGGTTCCTAGACTAACCGTCAGGAGCTGTAGCTGGGCCTCTTTTGTTGCTCTGTCAGAGCGGCGGCCTGAGCGTAATTGTCCTTTAGTTTCCATCCCTTTGAGCCAGTTATCCAACCGCTGGAACTTCTGCTCTATCTGCCGGAGTTTGGCCAGAGCGCTGTTGAGCTGAGATCTGGTGTCACCCAGCCGGGTCTGATACGAGCCCCACTCCTGCTGGACCGTCTCCAGACATCGGTCCTCTAACTGCGGGACGCCCCAGGGAATCACCTGCTCTCGGGTCACCAGCAGTGTGTTGAGCAGGGCTTGATCCTCTGTGCAATGCACCTGAAACTCCTGGAGACAGATAACAGAGTAATTTCTCTAATGCATATTTATATTAAAACCCCAAATAATCAAACTATTCAGCAGACATTACAAAAAAACTTCCATTATGAATATGGATGCACAGTATATCGGCAATTACATCGGTATTTGCCAATCTTGGCATTTAAGTGACTCTAAACCAGGGGCCCCGAGCAAACTTGATGTCTTAAATGTAATTATTTCAATATAATTTAAATATATAATTATTTAAATATAAAATATATTATTAATAACAATTCATTATTTAATAAAAATAAATAATAATAAAAATAACTGTTATTATTATTATTATTTTTATACATTAAAACAATCTAACTTAATTAAAAAAAACAGTATTCTCTTCTTCTGTCTGGTCACAAAAATATTAAACAATTATGCATCTTTCTAGCATATATTATAATGTTTTGATACATATTCTATATAAATATTCATATATTTACATATTTATTATGAGCATGCTATTTAAAAGCAACAGAAAAATCATTAAATAATATCATTTATAATGTCAGACATTATAATAATTACATATAAATAATTAGCTATTCGAATGAACCAAAATTTAAATAGACTATATCAGTGCATTAGTAATATTTACTGGTAAATACTGGTGTAAAAAAATCTCTCTCTCTCTATATACAGTACATACAGTATATAATAATACATCATTATTTAATGTCATTTCAAACAGTCAGAAAGTTGATATATCATATATTTTTGATAATATATTTGAATATACACGTTCTACTTATCTTAAGCATTTTATATTTGTTTATGATGTATTTAAATCATTCGCCAAATTATTATTATTATTATTTTTTTTTTTTAAATAATAACATTACAAATGTTGGATGACAGCATAAATACCAAGAAAAAGAAAAAGAACACGCAAAGGACACAAGTACAGCAAGTAATTAATACTTTAGGGTAACTTAAAAGAAACATACAAATAAACCCCGGCAGCAAATTACCACACAGAATAATGCATCATCAATTTATCATCGGGCATCATCGGGCTATACTACTCCAATAAGTGGTAGTAATTTCACCAGAGGCAGGTTTAATAACGTCAATGCTGGCTTTAGATTCGCACTCTTTGAGTTTCAGTGCAAGCAGTCTGCTAGGCCTGCCAAATTCTTTTTTCTAAATATAATATAACTAAATATAAAAAGCATTCGTAAAAATATCCTGCAAGATGTTTTAAAGTCAATAAGAGATAAAATGAAAAAAATAATGTGTCACAATAGGTACGTGAAGACGTCTTCTGACCTGTAGTTTGCGTAGCGTGTCCTCTAGAGTCTCGACGTCTCCCTCCAGCTGTGTGTAGCAGCTCAGTCTCTCCTGCTGCTGCTCCAGCCAGTCTTTAAACTCATGCAGGGCGCGCTGGTACTCCTGATGTGCCGAGACCAGCTCCTCCGCTTTGGCAACTGCACACTTTGGCAGAAAAATATGGCAGAGTCCATTAACACAAATATTCAGCATATTCTATAAGGTGACCAATGAGAGCGGTGCATTATACCTGGGCTTTATCTTTGACAATATTGTAACGCTCTTGCAAGTCCTGAATCTCTAGCTGGGTGACATAGTGCTCGGCCATGTTGGACCCCTTCATGGATATGACATCCAAGACGCTGCTGTGACTTAAAACATCCTCTAGGAGCAACTGAAATGAGAATGTTTGCATAGTATGTCAGGACTGACAACAACTAGAATGCAATTACTCGGAGACTCAAAGCATTGACAGTAACACCATACTTTGGCTTTGCCCAGGTTGGCGGTTTTGTCTCTCATCTCAGAGCACTGTTTGTCTGCAGAGTTTAAAGTCTCTTCCACAGTCTCCATCCAGCTCACAAACTGACGCACGTCCTCCTGGTAACTTGTCCACTGCGACAGAGCGCCCTCCAGCTGGCTGTTTAAACCCAAACACAACAGTAAGCAAATTCAACTTCAGCCAAGATCTCTCTTCTCATCAAGAACTGTTTTTGGCTGTATGGGATTCTAGAGTTGGCAATATAGGGCTAGATTTTCTGTTAGGAGTCTTTTGTTTTGAACTCAACAATTAATGAAAAGCTGTTATTAAAGCAATTATTATTTTAGATTTATCATTTATTTCAATAATGAATATAAAGCTGGTCTTACTATTAAGATCTTACTATTCATGTAAATATTTGAATAAATATATGTAATGAAATTTGTAATGTAATATATAATATTTATTTTAAATAGTTTTTTTAATAAAAAATATTTTAAATATAGAGCAGAATGAAAATATAATTATATATATTTAATAAACCTTTTTTGCCTTTTCTCTCAACTATAATATATATATAGACACACACCGTAATCACAGTATAAATGTACCATAATTTTGGTCGTATTGTTCACCCTTAGTGTAGATGCTTAATATGACTTGAATCAAAGTAGATATTTAAAGGGGTCATCCGATGCCCATTTTCCACAAGTTGATATGATTCTTTAGGGTTTTAATGAAAAGTCTGTAACATAGTTTGGTTAAAATTTCTCAATGGTAGTGTAAAAAACACCTTTTTTACCCTGTCAAAAACAGCTCTTTTTAAAAAACCTTATACTCACTTCTTCTAGGTGAAGCTGGATCACGAATGATTCGCGCGAACATAAACGCATTTATGTAGATCGGGGGAGCATTCCCTTCAGAAACAAACGTAATCCACTGCGTCTTCAGCGGCTCAGATGTCGGGAGTAAATGACGACGGCTATGTTCATTATTACATCCAACAACAGAACACCTCAATCGCTTAGAAGCCGTTCTTGTCTACACTTGCTCCGGCGGTGAAACAATGGCGGACTGATGACAGTTCACTCAGGGCGGGTCTAAGGTAAGACACCAGTCCAGTCTGTGCTGAAACGCTACTGTCAATCAAACTATCGTGGGAGGGGCCTGTTTTTGTGACGTCACACAGACAGGCATCTGAGATCGGCTCGATTTGAGAAAGGGGTAAAGATTTTAGTAAATTAAAAAAAAAGCACTGGGTGGATTTTTATCATTATATGGTGGTTGTGTACAGTTCAGTTCAAACAACTTGTAAAAGTTGTTGACCCCTTTAATATCTGTCTTCTCCAGACCAGATGTATCTCACATTAGGTCGCTGCACTGATATTAATAAGACCATACTGACCTCTTGCATTGAATAGAAGCCGACAACAGTCCATCCCATGAGTCCTTGAGGTCTTCGATTTGTTGTCGGACCAGCAGTACACCCTCAGCGGAGGTGTTTCTCTGGGCTGACTCTCCTCTCGTCAGCAGCATTTTCAGCTGTATCTCCTTCTCTTGGCGTGCCGTCAACAAAGCCTGGAAAACACAGATGCATTCATGTGAAAACCCTCATTACAAGTACACTACATACCAAGAGCCATGAAATTAAATGCAAAGTCGAATACTTCAGCTGAAATGTTCAGAATGGAGTACTAGTGTACTACTGAATACTAAAAGTAGTATGGGAAACAGTATGCAACATTCAACAATAAACATTTCAATAGTGTAGTATGTACAGTAGCATGCTACAGTACACTGATGTTGCATGACCTTCACTACATTTTATGTTCGATTCATGCGGCATCCAGTTATCGTTTTGGAAATAAATCAGGTTATTTATGGTGACATATACTCTTACCTCGAGTTTGATCATCCTGCTGTCCAGCACGTTCTTGTCTGCGGTGGGAGTGCAGTAGGTTTGCAGCATGTGACTGGTATCAGCCACCCAGTTCTGCAGCTCTTTCAGGCCCTGCGAGAACAGCTGGTGCTCGGACACGATGCGCTCGATTCTAGAGGCTTTTTCCTATTGGACAAGCACAACATAATCTGATGAATAATCACATCCCTGAGATAAAGTGACTCGAGAGAGTAACTGTGGATTCAGTACATAATCATAACATACAGTTTAGTAATTAATCATTCGGTAAGGGAAGCATCTTAATAGAAACAGTAAATGTGTTAAAAGGACATTTATTAATTCTGGAGGTCTAATCCATATGATTTTTTTCTGTGTTTATTAGTAGATACTAGGCCGTAAAAATGCCAACTTACACTGCTCTAAATACATCCTTTCTGTGCAACAAATGAAAAAATGAGAAGTGAAACTTAAATACAATATGAACGTAACATCAAAAAAACAAGTTAAATTACTCCATATAAAGTTTCCAGATTAAAAGTGTTCTCCACCCAAAACTGAAACACATGGACTGTGTCCGAAAGCAAAGGGACTTAACAAACAGTGTTTATATGAAAGCACACCTTAAGAAAAATGGTTTCACAATGTCATGTCTAATGATGTAGAAGAAATTCATAATTGTATTTCGCATATCAAAGAAAATACTTAATGACCATAATGCTTCTTTCTTAGTAGAAATTATATCAGAAATCAACCTAAATCAAATAAAAAAATAAACAAATAAAAAATTAAACTACGCAAATAACAATTAAACATTAAAAATGTAAACAAATAAAAATACAATTATTTAAATATAAAATGCTTTCAAATTAAACAATCAAACTAACTAAATAAATAAATAATTTAAATTTCTAAATGAGTTCTAAATGAACTGTTCCAATCAGACACCATTTGGTGATAGGACATTACAAAAAAAAATTAAAACTTCTAAACCAAAAATCATTTTAAATGAATAAATAAATGAAAAAATAAATAAAAGTAAAAAAAAAAAAAAAGATTAAAAAATACAAATAAATAAATAAATAAATCTAAATGTAGAAATTGATTTACTGTTCCAACAGACACCATTTGGTGACAGGACATTACAAAAAAAAATATTATTTCTTTTTAAAAATATTACATAAAAAATAAAAATAAATGAAAAAAATAAAACACCATTTGGTGTCAGGACATTACATAAACACTGGATTAGGACATATTTTGATGCCATTCCACCTTCATTTGCTGCCTAAGGTTTCGGACACAGCCCTATGTACACATACAGTTTGTCGACCCCTGCAGCATTAGGGACAGGTAGCCAGCAGGCAGACAGGTGGGACGTTACCTTGGTCAGGTTGCTTAAAGCTAGGTACTGAGCTGAGAGCTGCGAGACACAGTGCACAAAGCCCTTTCCGGCCGTGTGTCCGTCCCACAGCTGCTGGGCCTTCTCCCTCAACCTGTGCAGCTGAGACTCCTTAGAGGCTAATTCCTCTAGCAGAGACTGTGAAAGCACAGGCATGTTAGCACAGAGCAGCATGATTAATAAAGCAACATGGCAGCACATGAACAGGACAGACCGTGAGACTGGGGACAAGCCATGTTAATATGAGTATGACAGGAATGCAGATTAAAGCATGAATGCAGCTGTCTTATACATTTGATCACATGCACTGATCATTTTCTGCATGCATTTTGACATTAAAGTCAACATGAAACGCAATATGACCCTACTTACTTTTATAATGCCCTGTGTTGTTATTGTAACTAAAACTAAAATAGTAAAATATTAAACTTGTTTGCATTCATTGAAACAAAGCTGAAATAAAATAAAAATATTAGATGAAAAACTTAAATTAAAATGTTGCCTTGGCCATTAACTGCAATAAATAACAAAGTGCTAGATACTATTATTATAAAACCAAAACTAAATATTTTTAAATATAAAAAATACACAAAAATGACTAAAACTAGAAAATGTTTCATTAAAAATGAAAATATAAAAATAATTTAAAATATTAATAAATACCAGAATAGTATATAAATAATATTATTAAAATAGAACTGGCAAAAATCTTCATAATTTCATCATAATAAAATAACTTTTCATATTATGTAACCAAAGCCATGCAGGCTATTGCATAATTGTAATCAACAGCCAAAGTATACATTTTTCAATGAATTTCTAATTCCGCTGAGAAATTTGTCTCATTATGGAAATTAAATGCGCTGTGAATGCTATTTCATGTTCACCTTAAAGTGCCCCTATTATGGATTTTTGAAAATTACCTTTCATGCAGTGTGTAACACAGCTCTAAGTGAATGAAAACATCCTGCAAAGTTTTAAATCTGAAAGTGCACCATGTATAAAGTTATTGTCTCTCAAAAGAAAGAGTCGACTCTGAATCACTGAAACGAGTCGTTTTTAAAACGAATCCCAAGCCGTTTCATGTTGACCTCATCATGAAGCATTAGCATATTGCCCGCCCACTTGTTGGTCTTTTCGTGTTGGTCTGAATGAAAATGCAAATTCATTCTTTGCCACTAGGTGCCGCTTTTGGAGCGTAAAAATTGCGGTTTCCCCAGTAGCGCTGTACACAAAGCAGCACTGCGCTCACAAACACTGCTTTATCAGGCATTACAGACATGATGAAATGAAAATGAGATCAATCGGACCAATCACCGCAGATTAGCGTCACGCAAAGGAGAGGTTTGGAAAAATTAATCGTTGAGCGAATCGTTTGGGATTCGTTGAGCAAGTAAGGTAAAAAATAAATGCATATTATAAGACAATGAAAGTGTTTTTTGACCTTGCATGCATGTCAACCTGTTGTTGGGGACACCCAAAACCAAAATATGAACCTTTCATAACCCATAATAGGGGCACTTTAATATATTAAAATCAAAAATAATGTATAATACATAAAAAACAAACCCACTCTATAACTAAATAAATAAATACAATAAAAATAAACGTAACTGTATTTATATAAAATAAAAATATATCTCAAATAAATTGATTTCAATATTTAAAACATATCTATATCTATTCACAAAATCATATGAGCAAAATATTGACAAAAAACCTGTAAAGTTCATTAGAGCAGCGTAACTACTCCGATCAGCTAGAATGCTGCTTGTGAATGGCTCTTCTGCTAATGGCTGTGAGTAGAGCTGGTTTTGATTACGCTGTACTGCACCTGTAACCTGTGCAGCTCCTGCTTCTTGGCTGTGAGGTCATGCAGCCGACTGCTGCTCTCTTGAACGGCCTCCTCGGTTTCATTCAGCCAGTCCTGGAGCGGCTCTACGCTCGTTTCAAAGTCCCGCATCTGAGCCTGGAGATTCTGGAAGAAAAGAATCAATGACGGTACATTTAAAGAGAGAATGACTGATTATAGCTAGATCAGATGTTTTTTGGTCTACTGAGGTCTATGATATAAATGATTTACTTAAGTACACCTTGAGATTGCAAGTAATGTTCTAACCTTTCAAGAAATATCGAATAACATGAATACTAAATGCAACAAGATTTTTAGAACATTGCAGGTAGTTGTTATTGCATTACAGGCTTAAATCAAAAGAGTCTCGGATTCAACAGATGTGTGGATTTATCATCAAATGATGGTCAGACACCTGTAAGGCGGTTTGTCTCTGGTGCAGGTTCTTCATGAGTGTTTTCCAGTCTTCTCTGGCCGAGTTGATTTTGGCTCTGACTGACTCCACTCTGTCTTTGGCAGCGATGCTCATCAGTAGCTCTCCGCTGGCTGCCACTGTGTTCAGTTTGCCGTTGCCTTGCTCACGGTCACTCAGAAACTCCTGCAATAAGAAGAACTTACCCTCAGAATCGTAACTGAATTGAGTGGACAACAACAGTAAATCAATAAGATGTTACCTGAATCTTCTGCAGGCTGGACGATGCTTCAGCCAGGTTCTGAGGCACATCGAAACACTTGGCCGTATTGATTTTCGCATTGACCAGCCACTGCTGGAAGTCTCGAAAAGCGGCACGGAAGCGCTGCTCCAGGAGCTTCTCCTTTCCCTGACACTCTCGAGACGCCTGGAGACTGAGGCTACGGGGAGGAAGAGAGATGTTACAAACTACTGATGCAAACGAAGCGATCTGAACATTGATACCATGTAGTACTCAAATATGATTCTTCACAAACTTTCCATTCATTTCCAGTGCTGTTTGTGTTGAATCATTTGTGGCTTCCGCTCAATTATTTGAATGAGCTGCTGTTTTGTTGTATGCTGGACTATTATTACGGTAAATTTTCATTGATTTCAGATTTGCTGAAATGTTATGTGAAAAAACAAAACTGTTATTGGTGCTTTTAAATGTTCTCGGTCAGTCTGTCTCAGTACTATTTTTGTATGTTTTTATACCATAACTATTTTAATTATTCATTTTGAATTAGCTGTTATTTTTATATTTTCAGTTTTCATTTTAATTTTGGTTTAAGTTTTAGTAATTTTGCTATGTGCTTTTTGTAATTGTATTACATTTTTTTTATAATTTATATTAATCTTTTATTTATTTATTTTTTCAGTTTTAGGTTCAATAATTTTAGTATTTAAACAACTTCAGTTAGTGCAAAGGTAACATTTCTAATTTTCATTTTAAGATTTTTCATTAATAAACATTTGGATCTAATGTTTATATTATATTTATTTTAGTTAACAATAATAACACTAGTCTCTCTGTGTGCTTAGATGTTCTGCTAAAACTAGAACATACAGTAAAACCTGGAAGAGTTGCCTGGTCTTGAGCTCTCTTACCTGTTGTATTCTTTAATGAGGGCAGATACTCTCTCAGACTGAGCGCCCAGATCTCTGGAGAACCGGCACAAGTCATTCAGCTGACACTTCAAATTGTCCGACATGGGCTCAATGTTTAGCAGTGCTTCCAAGGCGTCCTGAGTCATAAAAACATTAAGTACAGTGACTTTAAAAGAACAGAAATTTTTTATTATTATTGCTTATAATTTGCTCTGTAGGCTTTACCTTTGCTGTCTGCCATCCCTGCACAGCCTCTTCACCGGAGCTCATTTCTTCCACCTGCTGCAGTTTGATGCGCCACTCCTGCAGCTTGCTGCTGAAGTCCTGCAGGTCCTGCTCCAGCTGCGCAGCTAGGCTGTTGAACTCCTGCTCCGAGCTGGCCATCTGAGACAGAACGCCCTCCAGACCAGAGCACATGTGTTTAGCACCGCGCTCCCACTGTTCCCAGGCCGAGAGCAGCCCGGCCTCCTCTCTCTCCAGAACCTCACAGCCCACCGTGGACGTGTGGTCGCGTGTGGCGGCACCGCAGCTCTGCACACGGGTCAAGCGCTCATGGCCTTGTTTCCTGGAGTCTAACAGCCCCTAAAATTTAATCACAAAGCTTTAAAGTCCACATGAAATCAAAATTAACTTCCGTAATAAATGTTTATGGTCTAATTTTGTGCACAACAAGATATCAGAGCACAGTATAGTTTAACATACCCTGACTTTAGAGAGTTTCCTCTGAACAGAAGCAGCGTCTCCAGACATGTCTGACCAGCGCTGAAGCTCTTCTTTAGCTGATGTGAGCCAGTCGTTCAGGTCACGCACCGACACCATATACTGCTCATGCTCTTTGACGATCTCCTCCATCTGTTGCACCTTATTCTGCAGAATAGGACATTACACAAAACATCAGAAATGTTGAAACTCAGAAAATTGTCCTTATTTAATAAAAAAAAAATGTTTCAGTTTTTTTTGTTAATGATTCGTTGATGTATATTATTGTTATTATTACTATTATTCAAAAGAAATGTTTTTTATAGTCATTTCATTAAAACTTAAATACTTTTTTTTTTTTTTGCTGATGTAACCAAGAAATCAATTAATTTCTTAAGCAATTATCTTGCTTATTTTCTCAATCCAATAAAATCTTGATGTGCATGTAATAAACTCTCAACCTACATTACTTTTCACTAAACATTTTTCTTCTCAGAGGTACATTACGGATGTTAAATCTGTTTCGTGTTGTTTTTAAGGCATTCAGTAGGCACTATTATCTAGAGTGAATTACCAGGAAGTGGTTTATGTATTGTATTGCATTGTATTGTATTGTATAAAATAAAATAAAACAAGACCCTGGTGTTAAATTTATATCAGTAATATAATAATATATAATAATGATTATCAACAAAGAAGTTTGAGATCAGGTTTAATAAAATATATGCCATATGCCATAATTGACAAGAATAGTAATTTCAAAATAAAATACTTCAAATTATGGACGTTAAATATGTTTCATGTTGTTTATAAGGCTTGACTAGAGTGACTTACAGCAAGTGGTTTGCCTTCTATATTTAAAATAAAATTACATATTTTTACCTTAATGACAGCTGTGATGTTGGTAAACTGGGTGTTGAACTCCGATTTCGGTCCCTCTGCGAATGCCTGGTCTCCCGTCTTCTCATACAGCTCTGTGGCTTTCTCATTCAGACGTGTCAGTGCTGACGAATGGACCTCCACATCGGCCTGAATGGCCCGCAGGCGCTCCAGTAGCGAAGCTTTCTCTTTCAGCCCGGGCTGCTGCGGCAGAGCCACCCCTGCCTCCTGCTCCACCATCTCCATCCACTGCTGCAGCTGAGCTTTACTCTCCAGGAAACTGCCCCATTGAGCCACGGTCCACTCCAGACGACTGCATCACACACAAACGATTATTACAGCATTCTGCCAAGTTACCCTGAGGCTTCATAAGAGGAGACAGGAACTCACCTGTGGCAGCTCATAGCGGTCATGAGGATATTGGCCCAGGAATCCTTCAGACTCTTGAGCTGAGAGCGGATCATTTCCTGTTTATCCCTACTGCAGTTCTTCAGCACCTGTTCTCCCTTCCCTACGGTCATGTTGAGCTTCACCTCCCCTTCACCCTTCATCAGCAAGATGTCCTGAAACAATATCATCAAAATGTCAATGCTCATATAATTTCAGAATAAATTTGTACTCAAAAATCATTAAAAAAAAATGCGTGCATTATTAATTAAAAAACTAGTAATCTCAAAATTAAATTAAAAAAATGGCCTGGCTATTATATTTGTATCAATAACATATTAATATGTAATATCATTAATATATAATATAATAATGATGACAGACAAAAAGTTCATGTTTAATAAAATATATGGCCTATGCCATAATTGACAAGACCAGATCTCAAAACACAACATATAAAATTCATGCCATTTTAATGGACAATACTGGTAATCTCAAAATAAAAAATAAAACAAAATAAAATAAAATGAAAATAAAATTTTAAAGGCTTGGTATTATATTATATTATATTATTAATATATAATAATGATTGATGAAGAGTTTGCGTTTAGGTTTAATTAATTGCATTAGAGTCCACTGATAAGGCTGCCTCCTTAACGCACACCTAAAATTTGAATGCAACGTTTTTGCATTCGAATGTGGATTTTTATTTTAAATTCGACGAATATTCGAAATTTGAATTTTTTTTAGACAGCCCTATTAGAGTGTGAGAAGTAATATTTGAAGTATGAGGAATTTCAACAAAAACATTCACCTAGCAAGTACTATTACAATTAAAAATCCCATAATAAAAAAAGAAAATCTCTGAATATTCATTTGGGTGGCATGACTGTGTTTTCTGACCTGAACCAGCCCCAGTCTCTTCTCCAGAGTCTCTTTATTGCCGCTGGTGCTGTTGAGTGAATTGAGGCGCTCCTGTACGCCACTGAGCCATCCCCAGGTGCTCTGCAGCGTCTCCTCAAAGTTCTGCTGCTCCTGCAGGCTGAGCTGACATATGCGCAGTCTCTCCCTCGCCGCCTTGAGAAGCGCCTGATGCTGCAGCTGCAGCTGCGCAGACGCTCGAAGCTCCGCCCCACTGCCATGACCCCCCTCACTCAGAGACTGAGCTTCTTGGCACAGACTCTCAAACGAGTCCCTGCAGGATAAGAGATTGGAAAATTATTTGTATTTTAATTTATTACAGTTACTTACATATTATATGAAAACATCACACAAAATACTGTGAGTGAATGCTATAAAATTGTCAATAGCAGATCTGTATATATATATGTATGAGTCTCACAAAAACCAGGTCACATGTCCAGGTCACATTTCCCAAAAATAATGTTTAAGTATAATGAAAACATTATTTCACAATGCAATAAATGAATAAACAAACAAACAAAAAAACTTAGTAATAAAATAGTAATATTATTAATATAATATTTGTAGTATGAGGAATTTGAACATGCTTCCTTGCAAGCACTATTACAATTAAAAAACCCAAAATAAAAAAAATTAATAAAATAAAAACACATATTTTGCATAAGGTCATTTTAAAAATGTAATGTAAAATACATGCATTAATAATAACACATTATTTATTTATTTTAATTATTTATAAATATAATGCAATATACATGCATTAATAATGAAACATTTTTTATTAATTATTTATAAATAGAATTTCCAAAATTACAAAATGTATTAGTAAATACAATAATAAAATATTTAATAATCATTTATTTAACAATAAAATACAAATATTTTGCATAATAATTTTCTTATTGATTTAAATATATGTTAAATGCAAAATGGATGGATTTAAATAATACATACATACATGTTAATAATAACAAATTATTTATTAATTACAAAACATTTATAAAACAAATATAATTTCTGAAATATCAATATTTTTAAATAAATTAAATATTCATTTATTTTTTATTTTGTGGGGGAGGGGATTATTTAGGATAGTTTAGAATATATTTTCCAAACGAGTATACGAGGTTAAAAAATGTAATGTTATACTGGTGCAAAAAACAGTGGGCCGTTTATTTACCTACTGAGGGTGCACAAATAGGACAAAAGATTGCTATTTATCAGTTTAACATATTCTAACCTCTCTTTAAGCACTTCATGTTGGAATTCTTCCACGCGCTCCAGCGTCACTCTCTCCTGATCGTGTCTCCCCTCAGGCAGCTCGGTGCTCATCCTCACATCCATGCGCTCCAGCCAGCGGGTCAACCTCTGCAGACGGCTCTCAAAGCTAGAAAGACACAGCACAGATTTCAATTCACAGCGCTCGGTGACAAATAACCCCCTGCCAACTTGAGAGCAGAGTGTAGGTCCTCTCTTCCACAGCAAAGCCGTTTATCCCCAGGAATTGTTTCAAACAATCTGCCGCTCTAATATTTAACCCAGCAAGCAGCAGTGTGACGCCGCTGTTAAGTTCTCACCCGCTGAGCAGACTGGCGCTCTCTTCCAGGTTCTGCTGGTTCTGTTTACACTGCTCCACGTAACTGTCCCAGTCCTGCTGGATGGAGGAGAGGTTCTGCTGGACTTGGCCAGCGCTGGCTTTGGGGAGGTGCAGAAGAAGCTTCTCACCCTCCGTACACACCAGCGTTAGATGGCTGTCTCCATCATCCACCCGCTCCAGAGCTCCCTGCATTACAATGAGTTTAAGTGTTAAAAGTGACACATGCATAACATGTCAGACATTGTTTGTACTATAGATAAAACATGCCAAAAAACAGCAAAGGAGATGACATACAGTACACTACCATTCAAAAGTTCTTTTGTTAAAAAAAGTATTACTTTTATTCTGTAAGGATGCATTAAATTGATCTAAAGTGACAAGTAAAGACATTTAAAATGTTACAAAAATTATATTTCAAATAATGCTGTTCTTCTGAGCTTTCTATTCATTAAACAACCCTGAATAAATGTATCAATGTTTACGTTTAATGTTTAATGTATCCACAAAAATACGAAGCAGGACAACTGTTTTCAACATTAATTAATAATAAGAAGAAATATTTGTTGAGCTACAAATCAGCATATTAGAGTGATTTCTGATGGATCATGTGAATGGAGTAATGATGCTGAAAATTCAGGTTTGCATCATAGGAATAAATTACATTTTTAAATATATTCAAATAGAAAACTGTTATTTTAAATTGTAATAATATTTGACATTACTTCCAAATAACTTCAATTTTTTCCTAACCAGTCACAAACATTAAGTGTTAGTTTAAGGCATTTTACCTGATGCTTGGTATCTGTTTTTAGGTATGCCCATAACGCACTTAATTATTATTTTGGTGTTTTACATAGCATTTCCCTTTCAGTTTGGATGAGGTGTCATAAAAGATGAAATACCATCAATTTCTGCAGTTTGCGTCCCACCACGCTCATGTCACCAGAATGATCGGCACATTCTCTTACAATGTCTTTCTGTCCAGAGAGCCATGTATGAAACTCCTTCACAAGATCTGAGAAGAGAAGACAAAGTGGACAGTAAGTAAACAATCTTTCCACAATGTCTGTCCTTGAATCAGTAGGGAAGATCATTGTTTAATCAGGAATACAGTGATTCTCACCATTGAAGTGCTGCTGGAGGCCATGCTGCATGGAGCCAAGCTTCTTAACACAGAGCTGATTGACCGTTTCATATTTCTTGATGAGGTCGGTCAGAGAGGAACCTAGACCGGCAAGTTCCTCGGATGGGTATTTTCTGCAAAGCGTGTTCAGGCTTTCCCGGGCTGAGTCAATGCTCGTCTGCTGGTTCTGAAGCTCCTTTTGGATTTCCTATGAATTGTATGCATGATTTTTTTCCTTTAAAGTCCATTTATAATGTTAGTCAAGGTTTCTTGTATCAAAACAGTCATAATTTAGTGTTATCTGACTGTTTTTCACCCTCTCTCTGATCCCTAGAGCTTCTATAAAACTTCTATATGTGCAGTAAATGTCCTCGGTTATGATTGATTAATTGTGATATGCCTCAATTTACTCATTTCTTTAAAAGTCCTTTTCCAAAACCTTCACCCTCCCTGTTCCTCTCTGGTGGAATGAGCAGCCAACATCCACCCGAACTGCTAAAATTTCAATTTTCATTTTTCAGCTTTCTAATAAACATGGCACTGTATACAACAAATATTGCTGGCTCTACGATGAACAGCTTATGCTCTTCTATTGTAAGTCGCTCTGGATAAAAACGTCTGCTGAATGCATAAATGTAAATATGTTTCCTTCAAAATGGAAAAAAAACACACTTTCTGTACCTTCACTCTGCAGATTTCTTCAGGAGCTGTTCCACATGGTGAATCCACCAAAGATCTCTCAACGTTCTTCAACCACTCGGACATCTGGCTGAGAAAACCTTCCAGCTGCTTCTTCTGAGAGCAGAAATCTTGGAGGTTGCTCTTGGCTTGGTCACATAACTCTTCAATGCTACTAATTTTCCTTCTGAGGTCCGTCTCCATGACCTGGAAGATGGCGAACAGGTGATGAAACCAGTTATCAAATCAATGAGCTGGAGAACAAATGGAGATCAGTCTTACCTGCAGTTTAGCAGGAGCATCTTGGCCACCGCAGAGTTGTTTCAGCTCTGAAACTTTCTCTTGTAAAGCATCAATCTTCTTTTCTTTCAGGCCAACATCCACCTAGACAGAAAAATGAATAAAAAAAAATTACACAACTGTTGCTCTGGTTTTATGAACGTGTTTAATAACACAGCTTGGAACATGCCTTGACTTCAGAGAGTTTGTTTGCAGTTTTCTGGCTATCATTGAAGTTATTGAGTCCATCTGTCAGATCCATAACCGAGCTGTTGGACCAGCTTTCGATTTCTCCACTGATATCGTAGATTTCCACCCACAGAGCAGAGCTCCTCTTGAGACTTTCGAGATTGTCCTCGATTTTTTCTGAAACCTGTGTGGATATGAAGAATAATGGCTCTGTTATATGAGGGGTTTTTTTTTATTATTGAAGACTCAATAATTGGCCTTTGGACAAACTCACATCTAGCCACTGGTCCACTGTGGCATCTATTTCTGTCTTCTGGGTTTCGCAATCAGGGATCTTGTTTAATTCACTTAAAAGCTTCTTTCCTTTCCTTGAAAATCGCTCTAGTACATCCTGGTTACTGGCCATCTCTGCATTAACAGCTTCATGCTACAGAAAGGAAGACCATTTAAGACCCACATTTAAGTTTATCATGGATAGTAGAAGTTAGTAACTCTATTAACTGGTATTTCAAAATAGATTGTCAAGTTTTACCTTCAACAGGGATCTTCGCGTGTCCTCTTGGTCTTTTAGGACAGCTTTAATGTTGGCTATAGCATCAGCACTCTCCAATATTGTGTTTATTGAAGACTTTAAGCTTTGGTAGTCCTTCATGAGCTCTACCAAAGCGCTGCTCTGCTCTTGCCTGGGACAAAAACACACAGCAATGTCAGTTAGACACTAAAAATCTGCACTTCTGCATAACTAAAATATGGAAAATTAACTTTGATACCCTCAGGAAGTGATGCTCAAACTTTTAGACCAAGTTGCAAACCATGATTGATCAAATCAGACCATTGAAGAGCCACAAAGTCAACATGTAGCCACTAAAGACTTATGCTTTTAATTAAACATTAAATGCAATTGTTTGTTCTCCATAAAGGTCCATAATATTGTTACTGCATTATTGAATAAATAAGTCTAAAAACTAAATAAATGTTTAATTTAATTTAATTTAATTTAATTTAATTTAATTTAATTTGATTTGGAAAAATTAAAAAGGGACCACTCATGTCCCACAATGTCACCATGTAACCACTAAAGATTTGAATATAAGAAAAAAGATTTAAATTAATTAAATTATATTAAATAAAATTAAAAAAAAACATAACATGGCTAAAATGGCAATTTTAAATAATTAAATTAAAATAAATAAATAAATGGCTAGAAGAAAAATATGGCTAAAAAGGACAATTGTCTGCTACCAACAAAGATGAAATCTAATATCCAAAATAGGGGGGACCAAATGTAAAAGTTATAATCTTAGTTAATAATTCTCCATTGACATATTGATCAACCATTAATATGAATACTGTGTATGCAAGAACATTTTCTTACACTTAAAAGTTATTTATATTTTTAATCATCTCACTATAAAGTGGAACAAACACAGTATAAGAGCCTGTTACTGGCGGCTCACCTTTCAGTAATGAGTTTCTTGGTGTCTTCCCAGGAGGTCTGAAGGAGGTTAATTTCCCTTAGTACTTCACCACCCAGCTCAGCGTCTCTCTGAGCCAGCTGTTGACCTTTGTCCCTGAGCCACTGCTCCTCGTGCTGGTGTGACTGCAGCTCATCTTCCAGCTGATTGAAGAACCGAAGCCTAAAAACATCACAAATTCAATAAGCAGCCCAACAGATATGAAATAGAAACAGCCCTGTTGAAAAGAGTAATCCATACCTCTGCTGTAGAGTAAGCACATTGGGCTCTTTCAGGCCCTGTTTATCTGCCTTCTCCTCAATATCCTCTACCGTTTTGAGCAGCTGCTCTTTACGCTGTCTGAACGAGCTCCAAAGAGCACCGAGAGCCTCAGCTTCGCTTTGTTTGGAGCCCAGTAGGTTCCTCACAGCATCCAGCGCCACGCTCAAGGAGTCGGCCAATGAGCGGCACGAGGATCGAGTGTCCTTTCCATTCATCAGGTGGAGCTGAGCCTTACAGAGGCTGCCGTCCAGATTCACAGCAAGTGTTTCAAGGCGACTAATATCAGGAACGATAGCTTCGAGGTCTTTCTGTAGCTCGTCCACCCGGCTTTTATCCCAACTCCCAGCGCTCTCCACGGTCTGTCTGAGGCCCTGAAGGACGCCGGCCGCCACACTATGGGTGTGTAAGAAGGCCTCTAGCTTCTCCAGACTCTCGCCTCGTAGTTCAACCAGCTGATGTGCTTCCATGTATGGCTGCAAGGAGCTCTCCCACTTTCCCTGAAGCTGTTGAACCTCAGCTGGCTCACAAACATCACACAAGGTCTTAGTTTGCTGCTGAAGACTCTGTCTTAGAACACTTTGCTTCAGCAGATCATCTCTCCTCTCCTGGTGAGAAAGATTATAAAACAATACTGCCTTGTAAAATGGCCAATTTCTCTTCGTGCAGATAGGTAATATACTCTGTTCTTCTCATTTTATATTTACTATGGTTCTCAATTTAACACATTAAACAATATGTTACTTTGCCAGGTTCAGCTATTCAAAAGTAAAACTAAATATGACGTTTAAGTTAAATTTTTTGTAAAAACCTGAAGACTAAATTTGGATTAACTTGGTTAAACACCTTTTTAAAAGTATCAACAGAATAAAACAAGTTCTTCAAATTGGTAGATGTCCTTTCTCTGGCACAGTAACCAAAATTCTCGAATTTCTCATCAAATATTCATAAATGCAATAATTTTCAAAACATCCAGACAACTGTATTAAAACATTTAATTTGATTGACATTCACAATATTTACATAAAACTACCTTTTAAAAGTTTGGGGTTTGTAAGTTTTTTGTGTTTTTGAAAGAAATCTATTAGGGATGCACGATATTGGATTTTTGCCGATATCCGATATGCCGATATTTTTCAACTCATTTTGGTCGATAGCCGATACCGATATATTTCCTTTTGTTTGGAAACAACACCAAGTCTCTCCTGTGTGGAAATCAAAGTGAAACAAATTACTTTTAATTTTGGTTAGTTTTTAACAAGAATTTATTTGTTAGAATTAAATAAACAATAATTAAGTTCTTTTAACTATAAATAAACTATATATCAATCGCTGCATTTTTTTTCAGAAAGATGCAGTAGTAACCTTAACATTTTATTTTAAGATTTAACATTTGTAGATGGTCTAAAGCAAAAGAGTTGTAAAAATTCTGAAAATCTTTTAGAGCTCATAATTTGTTTAAAAAGATATTACACATTGATGAATAAATCAGTATATATACAATTATTTAATTTACAAGTGTTATGTTTGCTGAGGAATGAGATTGGTCCACTGGTTAGGTTTTGCTGTCCCATAGCGCAAAGTCACATGACTTTTCTGATGCGCATGGAGGAATTTACTTGGCAAATGCGTTTCCATCTCCTTTTATTCGCATTAACCCTTTTTCGCACAAGTCAAAAACCACCTCAAGCGAGCGTAAAAACATTTCTACGAATTAAGGGATTTTTATTAGAATTTCCATTCCCATTATTCGCATTAACCCTTTTTCGCACAAGTCAAAAACCACCTCAAGCAAGCGTAAAAACTTTTTTTGCGAATTAAGGGATTTTTATTCGAAATTTGCCGTTTCCATCACTAGTTTCTGATGCGATACTTCAAAATGTGCATAAAAACAGGGTGATGGAAACATAGCTACAGTCTAAACGTTATTTGTGTTTTTTACTTTTATTATAGTTTCTACATTTTATTAGAAGTAGGCCAACAGCGCCCCCTACGGAATTAAAACTCCTTACGGAACGGGCTTTGGGACCCGGGGGAGGCTGACGCTGCTGCCATTGCACGTGCTATATTACTGTTTACTCTATCATACACCGAACGCGTCATTCTGTACGTGCATTCTCAGTTTAAATGCAGCGATCTAAATCAGTGAATCTAATCATCTTTCAGGCAAAACTTTGCGTCAAGAATGAGCCACATGCTGACGTGATCTAATCTCTAGCACACCCTGAGCAGATGCGAGTTAATGTATTCCTCTTATTGGCAAGACATATTGGCATAATTTTTCATATTGGGCCAATGCCGATATTTACATTTTGCCATTATCGGCCAATTCCGATATCGGTCCGATAATATCGTGCATCCCTAAAATCTATTATTCTCATCAAGGCTGCAATTATTTGATCAAAACTACAGTAAAAGCAGTGATACTGTGAAAAAAATATAATAAATTAAAATCACTTTTTTGTTTTCTATTTGAATATATTTTAAAATGTAATTTATTCCTGTGATGGCAAAGCTGAATTTTCAGCAGCTACTATGCAATTGCAACATAAACAAAAACATTTCTCTAATTATCACTTTTTAGTTTCAACATACCAGTTACATACCACATACTGAATGGAGGCTCTCATAATGGAACATACCTTGATATCACTGGTGGAAGGTTGAAGATCAGTGATATCAACGTGAGAAAACGAATGTAAAGATGAGAGGAAAGACTCTCCCCATTTGAAGAACTTCTGCAGGGCTTGATCAAACTGCTCCACCTGAGAAAGGTGCTCCTGAAGCACTTGGATTCTGTGATGAAGAGTTTGATGAACAGTACTATGTTAGACATACTCAGTTTTTTTAATGCAAAGTTTATCACTCACTCCACCCAGACCATTTATGAAATTTAAGCCACAAACATACATAACTGCATTAACATACTGATCCACCCTCATGAACAACAGCCTGATTTATTCCAGCACATGGAGGTTGGATAATCATAACAGAGGCCATTTATTTATAAGAGTATCAAAAGTACAATAGAAAAAAACAGCTGTCAGAGAAAGGTTGGAAAATAGTCATCCAAAGCTTAATTACAACTATTTTTGATGCAAGAAACCTAAAGATGGCCTCTTTAAACAAATGCAGCTTATGCTTAATATGACTGACCTTTGAGGTATAGCTGTGGTCTGACACTTCCATCTTTTCTCAAGCTGTTCATGGTCTTCTTTGAGTGTTTTCACACGTTCATCTGATGCAGTGGTGTAAAGAGTTGGTGTTTGGGCCACCAGCTTGTTGTAAACTGACTCCAGAGACTGAAGTTCACTCTGTAGGTGCTTTAAAAGAAGTTTAAGAAGCAATATGAAATTGAAATATTTCACTTCTAATATTAAATGTCCCTGCCATTTTCTAAAGAAAAAAAACTCATTAACTTTTCATCACAAATAGTTTTGAAATAGCTTTGCTTTTAAAATGACGAGATGAACAATAGCATTAACCATTATTATAGGTCGACTTTTCACAATTCACTTAAATCCCAATGGATAAAACCAAGCCTGCCATTCATTATTTCCAGCTAAATATTCTGTTTCACACAGAAATGTGTCACATTATAGAAGTAAAATACATTGTGAATGTTGTTTCATGCTTTATTTCATTTATTACTTTCAGTTCCAGCAGTTCTCCATCCAGCTTTAGTTTGTCAACCGGGAGGAACTGAGAGTCAGGGCTGGTTATGGATTCACATCTCTCCAGGCATGACTGCAGGGCAGACCAATCCTTTTCATACCTGAAATAGACAAAATAATCAAGAGATTTAAATAAATATCTCTTACAAAATAATATCTCTTCTTCATAATTTGATGTTAGATACCAACAGAGACAGCAAACATACTTTTGCCAGTGTGACAGAAGGCTCTCCATTTGGTTCTGTTTTTCCTTGGCCTGTTTTAAACCCTGCTCGTAACTTTGCTGCAGGGCCGCCACGGCTCTCTCGGCCTTCTCTCTATCACTGAGCCTGCGGGCGCCAGCAGACAGGGACAGCAGGGTGGCCTTCAGCTTTTCCAGGGACTGGAACATATCCTGAAAACCAAACCAATCACTTATTCAGGCTGAACTGGTGCAAATAAATGAGAAATGATCATGCAGTGATCATACCATGTGACTCTGTAGAGTTTTGTAGGTCTCGGATGAAGACACGCAGGAGGTGACAGGGCTGTCAAGTTTCTTCTGGATATCTTCAACCTCTGATTGTACCTTTTAAAAGAACGCAATGTCATTAGACAACATAAGACTTCAGTAAGACTGCAGTAAACGGCATGTTCAAACGTACCTGTTGAAGGTTGGCATTGAACTTCGTCTGGTGGGAGGAGCTTTCTTCCAACTGTCCATTCAGATGTTCCACACTCTCCTTAAGCTCCTCCCAGTATCTGCCAATCTGTGTGAGACGGGCTTTGATTCGTGCAGATTCGCCAGACGACACAAACTGGACCAGCGCTTGAGATTTCTCCTCCAAGTTGGACAGGACCTGTGACCTCTCCTGCAGACCTTCTCTGATTGTCTGCCCACCAGAATATAAGAGACGAAATGCTGCAATGTTAGCGGGAGTTTATATAGAAAATTGCATTTTATTGAAATGTGACCCTGGACCACAAAACCAGTCATAAGGGTCATTTTTTGAAATTGAGATTTATACATCATCTGAATAAATAAGCTTTCATAATAAGCTTTCCATTGATGTATGGTTTGTTAGGATAGGACAATATT